GATAATCATGTGTTAAAATCTTAACTGTGGGGTGGCAAGACCATGTTTTGAAAGGTTGCAATACAACTTAAACTGATTTATGCTCGCTTGTGTAGGTACAAATATGCCTCCAAGAAAAGACATCGGTAAAGGCAAAGCCATATCCACTGCTCCGTCTAAGGCTAAGGCTATCTCCGCACCTCCCCCGAGGAAGAGAAAGGGGGGGGGGGGAAGCTATTTCAAGTCAAGGTGAAGGACTGCGAGCAACTTCATCTATTGAAGCCACCCGTCCACAACCTCAGGGCCAACGGGAATTTGGAATCAAAAACATACCCCTACATGTTAAGGATTGGTACAAGCGTTGTAGGCCAAAACATATACATCCGGAAGCTGCTATTCATGAGTGTCACCTGCAAGCCAAGTACCAAGCTATTTAGAGAGGCATCAATGAGTTGGGGTTGAGCTATGTGTTCCGAAACTCTAGAGAGATCAACGTCAATCTTGTGAGGGAACTTTATGCTGGGTTTGATCCAGAGGATCCTGAACACCCGGTGCCGATTCGTGGAAGGTTGATAGATTTTTCAGCCTCGGCAATATGCAATTTCTTAGGTGCTCCGGATGTTCCTGGGGAACCCTTGGACTACTTCATAGTCTGTCTTACTTATCGAGAGCTGAGACACACTCTTTGTGGTGTCAACTCTGTGGTGGCTTGGTGCGGGATAAGAAAACCAATCGCCATAGGAAGTTCCCAAAGAAGAATATGAAGGCAGAAGCGCAAGTATGGTTGAAATTGATTAATGCATGGCTCCTACCGTGCAGTCATGACACTCTCATTAGCCGCAAGAGGACTTGTGTGTTAGATTTCTTAATGATGGGCCAAAGGGTGAATATGAGGCACTTGATCCGTTACCAGATGATCCAAGTGCGAACTAGCAAGAAAATTGACCGAATGCCCTTTGCAAACATATTGACTCACTTATTTTCGGCAAGAAGAGGTAGAGGAGGATAAGGAGTCCGATCACATCATTGCTCCACCCCTTAGACTAACGGACCTCACAAATGTCCGTATTAAGGAGCAAAACACCACAACTTCACTAATATGGGCTGAGCGCAATGCACGCGAAGACAACTTTATGGCCCATTTATATGGGACAATGGACTTGCAGCTTCGGATAGGGGGACGGATGGCCACTACAAAGGAGAGGGACATATTGGAGCAGCAGTTCCCGCTCAACGCTCATGCTCAGCCGCTGGTTGGGCTAGGTGATGGATACAGACTCCCAGATGACGAGGATGTCAACACACCTGAGTAATCCGAGGCCGAGCCGGAGCAGTCAGATGATGAGGATGATGATGAGGAGGAGGAGGAAGCACAAGATGAAGAGTGGGCAGCCTCAGAGGATGAGGGTGAGGATGCAACTTGATCAGGGAATTTTCAGCCACCCTACTCAGTTTTTTCTTGTTTGTCAATTTGTTTATGCATTGAGGACATTGCATGAAATTAGTGTGGGGTGGTGACTTGTAAATATTAGGCTTGTTTGAGTTATTTGTTTTTAGTTAGTGTCGTCTTAGCCTTTTAGAAAGAAAAAAAATTTGGCTTTTCCCGACGATGGATCTCCTAGACAGTTTTCTTGAGGGAATTAAGTCTACAGAAAAAAAACCAAAAAGATTTTCTTGTAGGTAGTGTACTAATTCCCCCTTGGTTTCTTTAGGCCGCAGTTTTTTTCCAAGGGTTTTATTTGAACTTTATGAGTAGAAATTAGTGGGCTATGAATTGAATTGCAGCGATATCTCTTAACTTTGTTATGCCTTGAGAATTGTTAGTACTCTGGCTGTGACGCTTAGGCTCAATTTTTGACTCAAGTATAAGTACCTTAAATCGTAGATTCTTAAATTTGCTTAACTGCTTTGACTGGAGTGTCGTGATAAAATTAATCCCGAGTGAGTTATGTGCCATGTCTGTGTGGGGTTTGTATGTACTCTGTGCATTGTATTTGATGTCTAAAGCTTGCCCCCGTGTGTGTGTAAAGCGAAGCCGTAGTCTTGTTCAGTCTGGAAAGTGATATAGGCGTTTCTTTGTTGAGACAGATATATATAGTTTACCTGCCTAAATGTTATGTAACGTAGCTAACCCTTTTGAGCCTATAATCCTATTTCTTTGGTAACCACACTACAAGTTGTATCCCTTTGTTTGAATCGACCATATATTTGAACCTTGTCACCTATCATGAGCACTTGAATTGCTATGAATTATGTAAAAGTTAAAGTGTGGGGTGGTGGTTTGGCTTTTGAGTGGAACAAATAAAATAAGGAGAAAGGTGCACCGTTTGTAAGAAAAAAATATGTCAATAAAAGCCACTTGGATTGAAATAAAAAAAGAAAAAAAAGGAAGAAGAAGAAGAAGAAAAAAATAGCTGTATTGTATGAAAAATAATTCTTGATGGTGGTGGCTAGTGAAATACTTGTGCTTAAAGAAGTATGGGGTAATATAAATTGATGTAAAGGTTGAGTTTTGGTTTGACATAAGTATGGGCTTGAGTGTAAAAGTATATGTATTAAAGTGCTTAAGGGAGGTGTAGTCACTCATATCCAAATGTATCCTACCCAACCCGCAACCTACATTACAACCAATTAAAGTCCTACTTGATCCTAGACCGAATGAGCTCGATTAGTAGAGTATTACACTACGGGCAAGCCTATGATGTATCATTTGTGGCATATGAATGTTATTTCTGAGAGTAAGTGAATTTTTCCTATCTTGAGTTCCTACGTTCTTAAAATTCATTGTGTGTGGAACTAAGCTCTTTGTTGGGTGAGGGCACGTGATTCATAAAGGAAAGGTAATGTCATTGACCTCCATGTTTGACTAAGTAAGTGAATTGTGAATAAGGCATAGTGTGATGAGTTACGGGAAGGTCGTGTCTGTAAGTGTAGTTTGATTGCTCGAGGACGAACAATGTTTAAGTGTGGGATATTGATGTGTGGCGATAATTCCATATTTTAGTACATTAATTACCTTATATTTTATGTGCTTTAATGTTAAACTACACTTTATTTACACGTAATGTAGTCTATTTTATGTCTAGGTGAATTGAAGATGAAAGTAGAGCAAAATGAATATTTGAAGTCTAAAGCGTGCTCGAAAACAGTTGAAAAGAAGAAAGAAAGAAGTGAGCAGCGGAAAAATGAGGAAGCTAGCGAAGCAAGCTAAAGAGCTCGCGTTAGAGCTGGCTGGGCGAGCCTTTGAGCTCGCGTGGGTTAAGGCTACGCGAGGGAGGCGAGGTCCACCTCGCGTGAAGGCTAGTGACGCGTGGTCTGGGGCGAGGTCCATCTCGCGTGGAGCCTCGCGAGGCAAGGTCTGAGGCGCGCTTACTCCGGATTTTGAAGGCTTATTTCGTCTCCTGGTTTGACTAGGACATGGCCTATGTCGTTTAGGTCTTTTCCTACACATATAAATAGATATAAAACACCACTTTTGAGGGAGTTTTGCGATCAGAGGCAAGAATAGCTCGTGGAACACGTGTTGGGAGATAGAATCACCGATTTTTACATTCCTTCATCTTTACCTTGTAATTTATTTATGCAAAACATTTGGGATATTGTAACTATCAGTATGGGTAGCTAAATTCCTCATCCAAGGTTTGATGGAACCTATTGAAGGATGATTTTTCCATTGCGTTTAATATAAATACGCCATTTACTTTTCTCTACTTGTTCAACTATATTATTATTGTTGTTGGTTGAAGGGCCCTCAATTGATTGTGCCTATTTAGTGTGTACTGCTCGAGAGAGACTACGCATTTAGGTAGCTGTTGAACAACACCACTCCTAACGTATTTGAGAGATCAATAAGGAGGGTTTAACGGCGGGATTAGATATAACGAAACCTTGGTGCGAGCATAGTGAGCGGTAAATTAGTGCTAGCTAGCGTAGTTCGAGAGAATACGTCTAGTAAATTGTGGTAGTTTCTCGAGAGAGAGCTAGGCCACTTAGAGTACTCATGATCGGTAGAGGATACTTAGGCGAAATTATAGAAAACGAGCGGGGAGAATTCCGACAATAGTGGAAATCAAAACCCTAGACCTTTCCAATTCTTGTCTACAACTTGTTCGTAGTTAGTTATTAATTACTGCATTTTTTATTACGTGATATTTAGTTAGTAAACATCCAATTTGTTATTTAAATATTTTTGAAGATTGATTGCGTGAAATTGTGCGAGTCTATTAGATGTGCTTAATAGGTTAATTCCCTGTGGGATTCGACTCCGGACTTGTTAACCAGAATATATTTGCAACGACCGCTTAGTCTTTTTTATAAGGCATAGTTGAGCGTGATCATCTCGTCATAACAAACTCTAATTATTAATCTCAAATGAAAATGCATTTGAAGGTAATTTTTGAGATTTTAATGATATCTTTTGGTGTTTGTGGTTAATCTTTTTTTCTTAAAAAATATTATATATTGAGTTTAATTAGTACCCCAAATTAAAAATATAAAATAAATTTAATCCTAAATTTTAAATCACTATCCCACCTTATCTCATGAACCAAACGATCCCTAGTCTCCTAGAGTCCAAGTCCTAATAGAGTATTCGTTGTGAAAAAGTGGGTCTTAATTGATTGTTTTCAAACAGATAATCAACCCAATTTAGTAAAGAGGTTTAGGAGAACGTGGGACTCTTTGCCTCATCCTGCACGACCCAATTGTACGGGTTAATTGTGTGTTATCATAAGTTGGACACATAGAAGACGTGTCTCACGTCATATTGGAATGTTCATGCACATGTTTAAATATGCATGAAGTCAAGAACAATCATAATAATTTCTGAGATTTTAACGATATTTTTTGGTGTTTGTGGTTAATCTTTTTTTTTCTATAATTTCTATTAAATTAATAGTTAGAATTTGTTAAATTATTGACAAAAATGCCAATTTTTAACAAACTTAAGAAAAAAATTGCTCGATAATTTTTCCAATGGACTGCTTCAAACCTAACCTCAAACTACTTTTACATTTTCTCTTTCCAAACCACCATTGGCAGTTAAGACGTGTCGTTCAATGGAGCAGTTGCGTCACATTGCAATTTACAGTTTCCTTTCACTAGTCACAGTTGAAATGTTAGTGAAACATTCATGAAGCACTCTGCTCCTTCCCTCCACCTCCTTGCAGCCGCTGCTTTCACCGACGCCGCCATCGCCAACGCCGCCATGTCGTCTGCTCAACCAGTAAGAATTCTCCCCCCGAATGGAAAACTCGCATTAACGTCCATTTCTAAACTGTTAACAAAACTCTCCTGACTCCGTTACAGTTCCGAGGTGGCCGGAGCCGCGGCCGGAGAAACTTTTCCGACCGTCCTTCCGGCGAACAAAGTGAGCAAAACATTGCAACTGGAGACTCTCACTTCCATTCTGTTCGTGAAACCAATAGAAATCTCCGCCCTTCCCCAAATTTTCGACCTTTCCGACCTAGGGAACCAACGCCGAGTTTTCATCCTAATCAACAGACTTATGGACAATTGCCGCCTCCTCAACCGCGTCAGCCTTTTCATCACAATCAGCAATCTTATAGAGCAATGCCGCCACCAGCCGGATTTTATCAAAATCAGCAGTTCAATAGAGCAGTGCTGCCACCGCCACGAGGACCACAACATTTCCGGAGTCAGCAGTTTAATAGACCGAACTTTTATGAGAATCAACAGTTTAATAGACCGAACTTTTATGAGAATCAGCAGTTCAGTAGACCGAATTTTTATGAGAATCAGCAGTTTAGGCCGCGTCCATCCCCTCCCAAGGCATTGAACTTTCGGAATTGGGTGTATGCTAGAACTGGACCTCCGCCTCATTGCGGTAAATTTTTATATTTCTTCAATGTTACGTTTACTTGAATTCAGGTACACAACTGTTAAGATGGTTGTGGTAGTTTGATAACCAGTTAAAAGCTAGTCAGTTCACGATGAATCCTCGTGCTTGAGATTGAGACCTAGTTGCAGTTGTGTTTTTTTGTTGCGTAGATGGAATGGCATACATGAAGTTAAAGAATCCATGGAACTGACTTGATATTATTGGAAAGATGTAGTATGTTTGTATTATGAGTTTGTAGTCATAAGATATGGTCTACTTGGAAATTCTTTTCTTTGGTTTATTGGGTAACAGTGTGTGGTGAGAAATGTGATGTAGAATAGAAGAGGATACCTCTCTGTGTTCAAGGTTGATTGTTCTTTAAAATTAAACAAAATAGGACGTAATTGTTTCATACAACGTGTTGATATGCAAATGAAATGGAGAAGAGTTTCACTTTCGCTAACCAATATGAAACTTCCATTTCAGTTAAGGCAAACACATTTAATTGCTAAAATTGAACATAGTCTCGTAGAAGAGCATGGAGACAACCTAAGTTGCTTCGACATGGCAGTTTAAGTGCCGCACCCGTATCGACACGACACTAGGATGGGTGTTGGTATGGGATCCGTACCGGATTTGGTCAAACAATTTTGGGTACTTTGACCACGACGGACGGAAAAATTCGAGATGAGATACAATTTGATTCCCGAAATTAGAACCAAAACTAGGGTAAATTTGAAGAATATAGCATAGCTTATCTAGGAAATCACTCATTTACTTTTCTACAACTTGAGAATGAAAAAGAAATTCAAACTTTACAAGCTATACATAAATATTCCACAAAATTTCTCATAATATATATATATATATATATATATATATATATAGAATTATTTTTAGTCGGATCCCCGCACCCGTATCCATATCCCAAATCTTAGAATTTATATTTCGAAGGATCTGACCTCTAGATCCGCACCCGTATCCGAGCAACTTAGCTTCTGATTACACTTCCTTTACATAAATTTAGTTTGCATTGTTTTGAGGTTCTCAACACAGAATTGAACAAGCTCGGAAAGTAGGAATTCTGGGAAGCAGATTTGATCCGACTTAAAAAGCTAACAACGGACGCCTTTTGCAAGAAAGAAATCTACGAAAAGACTTTCTCCATAAGATTTGAATTAGCAGGATTTTCAGGTCAAAATGATGGTTGTTTTAACGAGATAATTAACTAAAGAATCTTCAAACNATATATATATATATATATATATATATATATATATATATATATATATATATATATATATTTTGAATTACTTTTAGCCGGATATCCGCATCCGTATCCATACTAAGATCCGTATCCCCGAATCTTAGAATATACATCTTGAAGGATCCGACCTCTAGATACGCACCCGCGTCGACACCCGCACCCGTGTCCGAGCAACTTCGGAGACAACTAGAGGTAAAAAGAAAGAGAAGAAGAGGAAGCATGTTCGATTGGTGCGTCCAAAAAAAAAAGTGCACTTCTTTATTTTACCTAGCTTTGATGTACTATCTTAGATTTGGCATCGGGACTTCGTTAAGGATTAACTTGAATAATAAGGAGGTAAACTAAATGGTGCCTGTCGTAGAGATAGGTTAGGTGCATGTCATGCGTTCAAATCCAGTCTCAGACAAAAGCCTGATATTTAAGTTGAGAAGGGTAGAGAGGGGCGTGCCATTATCTGCCGAGTTTTGAACCGTATTCAGTTATAAAAAAAGAAGAAAACAGCGGGAGGAATCTGAAAGTAGAGGGTCTTGGTTATCATAATGGGAAGGAAGAGCACCAATAAAAGTATTCAGCCTCAAGATGATGCTTTCTTGACACGAGAAATTAAGAAAATGTTAATATTTGCAATATACACTATATGTATTGTGCAGATATAGAAGACTCAAAACACTTATTTATACATTGTACAACAGCAAGAGAAGGCTGTAATATGTTTTTAAGCCTTAGGAGATCAAATAAGTCATGCCACACAACTTAAAGGAAGCTGTGATAAGTTGCCACTTGGTGAAGACAAAAAAAATGATGTTTTAGAAAATATGCATCACTATACAATGGTGCATTTGCGGGAGTATTTGGAGAGAAAAGAACCAAGACATGCTTGGGAGAAAGGGCTCCTCATTCAATTTTCCATAGCTAATTGTATGAATCTCTTAGCCTATTCGTATAGACGTGTTGCAGATCAAGGTAGCCATCAAGGACTTTCGACTAGTAAGAGTTGGAGCACTTAGATGAGGCGTGGAAAGAAGATCTCAAGGCCTTAAGTATGCTTAAATGGAAGTTTAAAGGAAGAAAGGGTAAAAGATCAATTGAAGTTTACCTTTGTAATATGGGTATCTTAGTAATTTGACCATTTAGCTCTTTAAGACTAGCTTAGGGGTTTCATTTCTTAGCCCAAATACCAACCCTAGTATAAATTCTTTGTCTTTATTCTTAGGGAAGCAGCTTATAATTATGAAGATGAAACTCTTTGTGAGTTATGGATTTTTTCCTTGTCTCTACAATGAACTTCTCTTTGGTTACATCATGAGAACTAGTTCATTTATGAGTTAATTTCTATTTCTCCCTTTGGATTTGGTTTTGTAATTGACGGTAATTAGTTTATTTTAAGTATCTTTAGTTGTTCTTGGGTTTTACCTATTGCATTCCTTACTTAGTTTGATCCTTTCTTTCTTCTATCCTTGAATTAGTGATTTATAGTTGAATTACAATGTGGGTCAACTAATTCATAATTGATTTCTTATAATACATTAATTTTTTTTTTGATAACCATAGTATTCGGGCCGAGGAATTAGAGAATTAGGGTGGGGGTAAGGTCTGCGTACACATTATCATCCCCAGACCCGCTTGTGGGGTTCCACTAGGTTGTTGTTGTTGTTATAGTACTCGGGCCAGTTTGCGTGCACCTCGACGACGACGAGTAACCCTAATTCTCTAATTCCTCTATCCTTTACTTTATTACTTATTCTCCTTCTTGTTCTAGGTATTCTTGTTGTAGAAGTCATCTTCAATTTCCTAGAATCTACCAGGTCCGATCTACATCAAGGTGGAATATACTGAATGATGAGGAGGATGCTATGAATTTTATCTTTTTCCTTACCTGCTAACGAGTAAAATGGAAGTTAGATTGCTTCCGCTGTAGATAGAGCTTCTGCTTGATGCTATTTTTCCTTGTCACAACAACATACCCAATGAAATCCTACAAGTGAGGTCTGGGGAGGATAGTGTTTACGCATATCTTACCCCGATCTTGTGAAGGTAGAGAGGCTGTTTCCGATAGACCCTCGGCTCAAGTAAAGAATAATCCCAGCATTCATGAAAAAGAGATTACAGTAGTGAAGAAGCCATGAAAAAAGAAGCAGTAACAATAGCATGAAAATAAGACAACTGAAGCAAAAACATGTAGTAATAGATATGAAAGAATAAGAAAATACGAGAGTAATATTAATACTATTGGTATGGAGAAGAAAAATGCGCGACTACCTGCTAACCTACTACCTTAACCCTCGACCTCCACACCATTCTAACAAGGGTTATGTCCTTAGTAAGCTGCAAATGTACCATGTCTTGTTTAATCACCTCTTCCCAATACTTCTTTGGCTTACCTCTGCCTCTCATTAGACCCACCCTTGCCAACCTCTCACATCTCCTCACTGGGTTTTCTGTGCATCTTCTCTTGACATGTCCGAACCACCTCAACCTCGCTTTACACATCTTGTTCACCAAAGAGGCCACTCCTACCTTATTCCGAATATCTTCATTTCTAATCATATCTCTCCTAGTATGACCACACATACATCTGAGCATCCTCATCTCCGCTACTTCATCTTCTGGACATGAGAGTTTTTGACTGGCCAACACTTCCCCCATTACAACATAGTTGGTTGAACCACTACTCTGTAGAACTTACTTTTAACTCTTGGAGGCACATTCTTATCATACCAGACCCCGAATGCAAGCCTCCACTTCATTCACACCGCTCTAATGCGATTGTGACATCATCGTCAATCTCCCCAGTACCTTGGATTATAGACCTAAGATACTTGAAACTTCCTCTCTTGGGGATGACTTGTGTATCAAGCCTCACTTCCATGTCATCCTCATGAGCTATGTCACTGAACTTGCATTCCAAGTATTCTATTTTTGTCCTGCTCAACCGGAAACTTTTAGACTCTAGGGTTTGTCTCCAAACCTCCACCTATTGTTAACATTGCCTCACGTCTCGTCAATAAGCACTACGTCGTTTGCAAATAGTATGCACCATGGCACCTCCCCTTTAATGTTCCCAGTCAATTCATCCATCAGCAAAGCAAATAAAAACGGATTGAGAGCTGATCCCTAGTGTAACCCTATCACCAATGGAAAAAGTGTTTTGAATAGCGTGAGGCGACAAATAGCGATTAGGGCCCGCTTCACTGAGGCGAGGGGCGAGAAGCGAAGTGCTCGCCTTTTTGATGTGAAGCGACAATTTATAAAAAAAAATAAAATATTAACTTTGCATGTTTGTGTGTGTATATAATCAATAGCAATAGTATATTACTCCCTCCGTTTCAATTTATGTGAACCCATTTGACTAGGCACGGAGTTTAAGAAAAGAGAGAACGACTTTTGAACTTGTGTAAAATGAGGCACATATATTTTGTGTGGCTATAAATCATTGCATAAAGGTAAATTATTTCCAAATAGGGAAAGGGGTCATTCTTTCTGGCACAGACTAAAAAGGAAATAAGTTCACATTAATTGAAACGGTCGGGGGGGGGGGGGGGGGAATAAATATATCAATTAAAATCTCAGGTTTGAAGAAGCTCTCTGCCTCTGCCCGTGAAAGAATTGAAAAACGGAACCAAAAAAAAAAACGAGAAGAAGAAAAAGGAAGGAAGGAAGGAAGGAGGAAAGAAAGAATGAAAGAAAGAAAAAGGTCTCTGTTGCTTGATAAAAAACAACAGAGCAAAAAAGAAATGAAGAAGGAGAAAGGAGAAAGGAGAAAGGAGAAAGGAGAAAGGAGAAAGGAGAAAGGAGAAAGGAGAAAGGAGAAAGGAGAAAGGAGAAAGGAGAAAGGAGAAAGATGGCAGAAACTCGAAGAAGAAGAAAGGAGAAGAAGAAAGAAGAAAAGAGATGAAGAGAAGCATAGCTGATGAAGAAGCTTGAAGAAGAAAGAAGAATCGCTGATGTGACTGGGTCGATTTGAAGGAGAAAGAAGAAGAATCACTGAAGCCCTAAATTGTTTCTTTTAATCGCTGGTCTGCTGCCTTTTTCTTATCTTTTTTTTTTTGTTAAAAAGTGATGCTACAGGGCGCCTCTCGCTACACAACGCCTCTCGCTATAAAGGCAGAGGCGCTCACCTTTTTGAAATCGCCACGCAACAGAGGCAAATAGCGTTGGAGGCTCGCATCGCATCGCCTCACGCTATTATCGCTGAGCCGAGCGCTATTTACAACCCTGGTGGGAAGTGTCACGAGTCTCCTCCCACTGTCCTTACCAGTGTCTTGGCTCCAACATACATGTCCTTAATCGCTCTAGTTTATATGCCAGGTACACCTTTGGCCTCCAAACATCTCCAGGGAACTTTCCTTGGGACTCTATCGTATACTTTTTCCAGGTCAAAGAACACCATATATAAGTCCCACTTCCTCTCCATATACTGCTTCACCAATCTCCTTACACCGTGACTTCTGTAGTCGAACGTCCCGACATGAATCCGAGCTGGTTCTCGGGAATAGACACACCCCTCCTCACCCTCATCTCCACCACTCTCTCCCAAACTTCATAGTGTGGCTTAGCAGCTTGATACCTCTATAGTTATTGCAATTTTGGATATCAACCTTGTTCTTGTACAACGGAATCATTGTGCTCCACCTCCATTCCTAGGGCATTTTTGTCGTCCTAAAAATGACAATTAACAATCCAGTAAGCCACTTCAAACTTACTCGATCCGCGCTCTTTCAAAATTTAACCGGGAACTCGTCTGGCCCAGTCGCTCTTTCCCTGCTCAGCTGGTTCGGCCGGAACCTATTACTGTCCGCAGACGCGAACACACACACACACGCAGAGCGGGAGAGAGAAGCAAAGAAGGAAGGAGACAAGCAGCGCAGAAGACTGGTCATGTCGCCGGGACTCCAACATGAAAAGGAAAGAAAAAAAGAGGAAAGAGAGAGAAAGAAGGAGAGAGAGAGAGAAGAATAGAAGAAGAGAAAGATACCTTAGATGTGCTTAGTTACCATCGACGGAGAAGAAAAAGAGTGGCAGTGACAGCTGTTACCGTTGAGAGAGAGAGAAAGTCTACAATATGCAACTGAAGGCAATTTTCAAATATTCGGGGGTAAAATAGTCAAATACTAGTTTTGTTTCATTCCCCAGACCTTCACTCTTTGATACTTCAACCTTTTGTTTGCAACTTAATAATATTATGCCAAATACTTGAATTGACACAGATAGATAACCCAAGTTACAGATAATTTAGTTGGGGATGTGGAAAAAAATAAATAATAAAAAATAAAAAAGGCCGAGGATGCGAACTTTCCAGCAGTAGTGAGGCCTCAGCAGATATTTGTTTCAAAAGATGCAAATTAAACTTTCAAGAGATAAGTTGTTTTACAGTGCAAGTGCCAATAAAAGGAGATCATACCTTGCTGAGGGAGCTGGTGTGGCACTCTTATTTTGCTGACCCAGCGACTTAAAAAAAAAAAATTTCGAAGTCATCAAATTCTTGGTCACAGAGTACCATAAAACAATATCAAGTAAGAACAAGGTGTTAGTCTAACGATTTAAGTGTGTATGAGATGAACCCCTGACTTATCAATGCGTTAGCGCTACGACAGTTTAGCCCCATGATCAAGTCGAATTTGTAGAGGTTGTGTTGCCTCGATGCTTGCTCTCGTGAGTTCCATTTTATCTTTCACGATGTTGGGGACAACTAACCACCTATTGTGAACAGATAAGTAGGACGGGAGCATGGAACATTTAGAAAGCTCCCTTTTGGGTCATGCTTGGAAGTTTAGAATATATTCTTTTAAGCCGTCCTATCCTGGAGTGGACCTCTAGGTTTCTTCGTAGAAAGGGAAAAAATATTTAAATCATTTTATTTGCTCCCTTTCTTACCACTATATTGGAGCATTCGCTTAATATATATTCACAATAAATTATCCAAGTTAGCTGAAATGTGGTTGGAGTTTAAGATTGTAGCGTGCAAAATATTTGACTTCTTCTGTGCTACTTTGAGATACTTGTTTACTTTCAATTTCTGTCTGTATGTGATAAGTTTTTGTTTACTAAGCTAGGTCTCGACCAAACTGATAAATGTTTTACTATGCTATTATATATTGCAGAGCGATTTACAGTCTTATCATACAACATACTAGCTGATTACCTTGCAATTGATCATCAGAGAAAACTTTACTATCACATACCACAACATATTTTGGACTGGGAATGGCGTAAAAGAAGTATTCTTTCTGAGCTTGGATGGTGGTCAGCTGATATATTGTGTTTACAGGTTATGACTCTTGACTCAATTAATCTTGTTTTGCCTTCTACACTCTTCGAATTGTGGTGCAATCACAGTGATGTTGTGGAATAGGCACAGATTGATGCGGTATGATGCTGGATGTATGGAAATTTTTCTAAAGTCTATATACGTATTTGTTCTTCCTTCCAGGTTGGTACCAAAGGTGTAGTACCATCTGTGAATTGGTAACTCTATATTGAGTTTGTTTTAAATGTATGTATTTGGGCTAGCAAATTTTAAAGGCGTGTCTGAAACAAAGAGATTTTGTACACACATATAGTGAGAAATAAGAGTTAGTGCAAGGCATGTTGGCGTGCGTCCTCTCCGGTCAGTGCAAGGCATGTCAGGTTTTGTTAGTTGGAAAGTATCATTGCCTGGGTGGTGCTGGGTTGATGCGCAACATTCACAATACTAAGGATGACTCAGGGAGTACTCACAATCACTAAAAAGTTGTGTGACAGAGATTTTTCTCGTGGAAGTCATTGGTTAATGCTTAATAAGTAATTCCTCTCTCCGGTACCATGTGATAAAGAAGAGACACTAGAGAGAGAAATGACAGAACACACAGGGGCGGCTCTAAGGTAAGGCCGATAAAGCCCTTGCCTTAGTCCCCAAGTATTAAGGGCCGCAAAATTAGAAAACACTATATTAGTATTATATCGAACATATAATTTATCCAATTATTATTAATGAAAACATTTCAATTGTTGCATTTTTTTAAATTTGATTGAGGTTGTATGATTGAGTGAATAAATAACGATAAATTTTCTCTCATTAAATTAAGTAGTATATTTACCTTCTCATCCAT